TCGCCGCTAGATGGCGCCACCTGTACCGTTTTCGACCGAATTCGACAAAAATTGATTTTCTGGCTTTATTAGGCATCAAAACGCATCAAACCCTAATAGAAATTTGTTTCTAAATGCCTCAGGAACCATACTACGTCGTCAAAGTGCCGAAATATTCATTTTTTCATTTTCCTTATATGCGTGGTCGGACCCTCATTTTTTAGGTCTAGCTGTAAATAGAATATTTATAAAAATTGACTTTAATTTATTTTAATTATAAGTATATTATAAGTTATTTTAATATATAGTGTACCATTACAAACATAAGAAGAACGATCTCTTAGCGAGGACCTGTTTCCTTCGACTTCTCATAGGTTACACTAGTTTCTTTTGATGTGGTCGTGACGCAAACCCGCAGTATATTAAATTTAAAAAATTATGTTTTCAAATACAGCAATGTTAAAATGCTAAAAAGATGAAGTATTAAAAAATTAAAAGTGGAACTTTAATAATATTTAATGGCACAGAAACATGATACATCCTGTTCATTTGAAGATATGAAAACTTGTTTTGCGCAGGGATTAATAAAAGAAGGACGTTGCTTTCGTATTACTGATAACGAGTCGAAAAACGCGTTCAGAATAGAGCTGTTTGCTGTCAATCAATATAGAAATTGTTGGCAACCGGGCATAATAAGAAAAGCTGCAGAAGAAGTCGTACAAAATATGAACATTGGTCGCTTTCGCATATAAGTTGGTATATTTTTAAATTATATAAAATAATATCATAGGAATAAACCGAGAATCTTATTGCAGATATACATATTTCTTATTTAACACGGTGCCATTAATTTAAAAAAAATGATTAATAGTTCAGATATCTCAAAAAATTTTATTTTAAATAAGGCAGTTCATGATGCCACAAATATTTTGCTTAAACCATACATGCCTTTGATAGCACCAGAATCTTATACAGTCCCAAATAATTATGAAAATAAATATGAAATGATTAATGAAATTAAAGAAAAATGGATACTACATTCACAAGATTTCTTATTAAAAATGACAACAATTGCATGGGATTTTTTAAATATTTTAAATACATGTCAACATAATTTTGCAAGTGAAATTATACATGAAGACATTTTGGAAAGCGAAATTTAAATTACTTATTAGCTAGCACTAGGAAGCAGATTACTTGATATTAATTATAAATCATTCAATGAAATGAAGATATTTTATATGCTTTATATTACTGCTTCTATGGATAATGTGACTTGATGGCATGTAGGAGAAAAACATAAGTATATTTTACCAATGTAATTGATATAAGTATTTTTAATAAAACTATACAAGCAAACTTTGTACAATACTTTATGGCAATGCTAACTGTCCAGGTTTTAATACTTGTCTCACATTTATATTGATTCTGGCTTTTAAAATATAAGTTTTTGCTTTGTTCCAGTCATTTTCATCCCAGGTACAACAATCACTGTTATCATTTGCTTCTTCATCATCCCATGGTATTGTATCAGCTGGTAATATTTTTGGTACACCATGATACCTCAAACGAGAATTCCCAGACATAATCACTATATCTCCACTTCTCAAATACATGGCATTGGCTGCATCATCTTGTGTAAGTCCTCCAATTAAAAATATTGCAGTCTGACCAAAGCTTATAGAAAACAGAGGTGCTTCTGTGTTAATTTCAGAATGATCAGTATGACCAGATAGACTAGAATTCATTCTATAATAATTAACTATTGCTGCTTCAGCTTTAAAATTCATAAAGCCTAAAGTCTGTGCCAAAACTGAAGTCAATGCTGTCAATTCAGTAGGCATTTTTGTTTTACATGTTTCAGAGTATAATTTTGTATCCCAATCATGATGATATCCTAATGTTGCCCATCGTAATTTTGGTATTAATTTTATAACTTGGTCAGATTCTCTGTAATTACACCATAAATTTAAAAATCACAAGTCACAATGCATACTTCTGTATAAAGAACAATATTTAATTTAGATGCATTGCATCTTACCCAAAACATGTATCCCACCAAGTTTTATCTTCTTCTAAAACATTGTGTGCATCCAAATTTATTTTATATGGTTTTCTTGAATAATGTTTTATACACTGTATGATCCAATACCTTTGCCCATAATTGGTAAATGGATTTTTTATAAAAATAAGGCCTGGAATATCTAAGAATTCATAAACTTCCCAGTCTTTGACTGGCTTTAGTCCCAATTTATGTTCAGAGTTTGTATTCGACAAGTTTCCCTTAAAACGAATAACCTACAAAGTACCATAATTTTTTATTCATGAAATAATACAAATATTATAATTTATTACATACTCTGCTACAATTGGGTTTATTTAAATCGATTACATCTTTTAAATCTGAAAACGAACTTCGACTTCTATAATATTTAAAACTGTTTTTAAACATCATTTAGAGTCGTGGGTATCGCCATGATTGATCAATTGCGACGAAATCGATAGAGGTCGCTACTATACTCATCCCTTTAATCTATTCAATTTTTAACTTTAAACATCTGAAAATTTGAAAGTTCGAAAATTTATAAATTTGAAGTTTGAACATTTATAAATTTGAAGGAGATTTGTTTGGCGTAATCTGAATCAAGAATCCGTGTTATGTAATATATGATTTCTACTTTCTCATAATTGGCGGTAAAAGAACATGCGCATGAAAGCGACCAATAAAATTTGCGGATCGGCTATTAAAGCCCCTCTCACGTTATCTTCGCACCAAGCTTCCACTCCATCCCTATATACTTTGGTCCACGTTTGAAAGTAGATTGCAGATTCCTATGCGAGATACGATTAAATGCTTCACATGTTTGAATAAGAATGTCATTTTGACCCGGTTCGCCGTGTATGACAATCGAAAGTGGAGATCGTTAACCGTCGAAGTTGCAACTTTTAACCGAACATCCCATAAAATATGTTTCTACGACACACAAATCTCGACTAACACAGAGACGATTGATCAAAGATGAATCTATGATGTGACATGTGACTAAGAATGTACAATCTACGATTTTACGCCGTAGAAGCAATCGATGAGTGGACACGTAAACGGCGCATTGTGCATTACGATTATTCAATTCGCTTAGCATAATATCATCATCGCGAACGCTAATAGCTAGATACGTATCGAAAAAGTCACACTTCCAAACGGCTTTTTTTCCCTTTGTGCCGGTGCCGTACGCGCACGGTAATGGACTGTGACTAATTTTAGAGCGTAATTTTTCGCATAATAACATTGCCGGGAAATCTATGATTTCATAGAGCCGAAGAGAGGCACGCCACCCGCCTTCAAGGTTTTTCGAAAGCTTCGAGCAAATTAATAGCGCGCACCGCGTTAATAATCGTTCATTACCATCGCTTCTATTCTCCATAAATTCCACCCACCCACCCTAGACGCGAACGTACGATTGTTCGTACATAAGAACGAGCCTTGCTCCAATTAGTAAGTTGAAATCTTAATTCGTATTCAATTGTCTATTTATTCGTGATGAAAATTTTTTTCATCCAAAATAGGATCTTACTGAAAATAATTTTATCGAAAAAGATGTCAGAATTGACATGACGGAGAAGCGAATATATGAAACGAACAGTCTCTTTTACAGGTGAACAATGTTGAAAGGGATGGAAAGTATTGACATACGACATACATTGATAGTCCCCTTAACGAAAATGATGACGCAAGGGGAGGAAACCTTCACCACTTGGTTTTCGATCGGTAAGCTTTCAAATTTTAAACTTTGGAAATTTGGGAATTATATCTAAAAATTTGGGAGTTTAGTTGCTACGTAAAGTGTTGGGTTCTTCCATCCCTTATGCTCATTCTTATCCGAGGAAATCGCACATTGCATCCAAATGTATTCGAATGCAACTCGAATGCCGGCATATTAAGGGAGCGCGTATTCTCTGACAGTTTCATGTCAACAAATGTCGTGCCCGCGAGTCGCGCCCAGTCGTAAGCCATGCCTGCACCAGTACTCGCATCGTATTCGCGAGATCGACCAATCACGAATTACGGTCACGTCATCGTCGGCCAATCGCAGCCGTTCCCAGTGACGACAGTCGCTAAAAATAGCTCGTATATATCTAGGCCGGTCGCAACCGCGAATTATCCACAGTCGTGCGCCGGCAGCCGACGGAGAAGGACGGTGTGGGGCGTATCGGGACGCTGTGTTGTTGTTCGCAACTGAAAAGGTAGGACCCCGTACACGCACCTAAAACAACCGTCTTCTCTGCACGTGATAAAGCTCTTTGTAGGTCGAGTCGCGTACGGCTATTCTTGTAATATAGTTCGAGGGTGTATTAAAGGGAAACGAGGCTACGACAGGAATTTCATTAAAATCTTTTCGTGGATTAAATTGTCAAGAGCTTTACTGGCTCATGTTGCAAACTTTAATGACAATTCTTCGTCGATTTCTGTAGTGTAATAGTTTGTGTACCTTTCCGCGGTATTAAAAAACACGATTATGAATGAAAGATTATCGATAGATTTGTCATTAAAACAAACGTCAAAATTATCGGCGATAACTTCTATGATCGAATATCGCGAAAATCGAGTTCGCGGTTATTCAAGGTCGTGCGGCTACCGAGTGGAGCTTTATTACGAACATGTTGCATATTACGGCAAGAATCGAGAGAAGAATATGTTAAATACGACGTGTACTTCGTGACATTGTACATGTACATTGTTGCTAGATAAAGAAACACTTGTCTCTCAATTTCTGCCGTATTTTTATCATTTCCTCTTTCTTCCATCGACAGAGCTAGTTGCATTTTATTTCTTCCTAATAATTCATATTTATCTCGTATTCGATTCGTAATATGAAACGGAGAAATCTCGCTAACACTGTGTATCGAATGTTTTCATAAATATGAAGTTAATTATAAGATTAAGTATCGGTTAGTACGCGATAAGAAGTGCAGCAAAGTTGTTCAAACAAAATTCACCAAAAATACACTTTGGTGTTTGGCCACTTTTTATAATCTGAAATGTACGTGTTCTTTGGACGGCTCATGACACCTGAGGATGTCTCGTAATCAACGCTGTAGCTAGAGTTTTTGGAGCCCGGGATAAAGATTGTTATTACTGGAAACATCTTAGTAGACTATACCGCTACGTATTATATCACCGCTCGCTACATCGCAATGTGGTATACAACCGATTCGATACATCGCTATAGCTATGCTATATATCGCTGTGAAATTTGATACGTAGATTGTTATATCGGAACTATTTAATTTTGCGAAAATTGAACGGTCCCTAAGCGCAGGGCTCAGGGCAAGTGTCCCGTTTGTCTGGCGATATAACAGCGGTACTGCTCGTAATAATATATCAGTGTCACGAAGATCATTTGCAAGTGGGGAACCTTAAATATAGCGAAACAGAACATTGGCAACATTGTCACGAATCTAGTAAAAGACTATATAGCATCCTCACACGGTACCAATACTCTCGATTGCACAATACGATGCTTAAACTAAACATTTAAAACTAAACACTTCTACGAGCGCGTTTTATTCATCATTTTTCTCGTTTTTGTTTCTCGGGTATTTCGAGTACAATGCAGGGTTAATTTCACGCGTATGTACACGAACGAAAGTATAATGTTTGTATTGGCATGTAAAGTGGAGTTAAGTAGGATCACAAATAACCGTAATCATAAAACCTCGTATTACGCCGGCTCAAACGTGGAGTACGTTTATTATGAACGACTTAGTGTTAACTAGAAATGCGTGCTCGCGAGGGAACATACATATTTACCCGTGAAGAAACAAACTTTTCGCGGGGAAACTTGTCCGATTCGAATTTTTTTTTATTCGAGCCATGCAAATCGATTCTCGTTCGATTACGGATATTCGATTGTTTATCCGCGATGTAGAATCTCGAGGTGAACATTGAACGCGTGGCTCACGATACGATCTATCGATTATGTAGCTCGAACATGAACGCGAATTGATTTAGAAAATATATATGTCCTCTGTCGATTTCTGATTCATATTTTAATGACGATAAACAGTTACCAACGGTTCCTCGTTACGTATATCGATACGTTATCGATGCGACATTACATGTTCGAGTTTGGCTGCAGATAGAATTATAAGTATCGCGTATGAACAATCGTGCATGTATTTTAATATTTAATGCTTGGCACTCGCGACTTTGTACATGTAAAGCTTAACAATCTATGCTAGAATTTTTTATATTTAATTTTGAGCGTTACCATAAAGATTAGGTTAAAGATGAAATCTCTCGAATAAATAATTCTTGAAATTCGAATTGAATTCGTATGTGTAAGAGAGAGATATGTAGATTCAGGAGACCACGAAGATTAAATGTTTACTTTCATTTGTAAACTTCCTCCGCGGCCGATACCATTATAAAACAATAATCTTATCTTTGCATTCACTATGCAAACGTGCCAATCTTCTCAAGGTGCAGTCTGCTGGGTGTGATAATTAGTTACAAGGTTGGACAACGTAACAACGAAATGCCTTTTCGTCTTTCTATTTTCGAGAACATTCTTTCCATTGAAACTATCATCGATAATTTAAATTCAATTTTAGGCACGCCTTAGAAACTATTTCCTTAGATGAAAGTACTTCTGTAAAATCAAATTGTTTACCACGGGCCAGGATCGACCTAGAGATCTGTACTTTCGAAAATAATAGAGGTGAACGTTTCCACTCGAAGGTGTACAAAGTTAATCACACTCGAGATTATCCACCCACGCTACTTTCAAAATCTCCCGCTTCGAAATTGAATACTCCATCGTCGAAACACAGTTTATTTGACTGAATCTTTTGTTAATAAATCCTTGAGAGAAATTCGCCGGTATCGCGACAGTTTTGAGTAATTATCTCTGATAGGTCGGCAAAGAATCCTGACTCCTTCACGACCGTGACCTTACTGACATTTCATTTCTTAGATCGTCTACGGCTTCGAAACTCGCCCATACAGGATCTGCACGTATGTCAGATAGCGTGCGCATTTCCATAATGCCGAAGGCCGTCAAATATTGCAACTAGACGAACGAATACCTTCGCAGGTGTGGAGTTACCTTGTTTTATCTCGCTTTCATCGTTCTTCTTTCGTTTTCACCTTCGTTGCTAGAATTTCGAACAGCCTCGTTGTCTATGTCTATCGATTTTCTTCATCCCTGCTCGTTATGTGCAAGGCTGCACTTGTAACGGAAGGCTTTCAATTTCATTTTTACCAATCATCGATGAGCAATAATGGTCTTATTGGTCAAATAATAAATTTTATTATTACACCATTACTGTTCATAGATTTCACTCGTATTTCCCTTTTTAATTATTCAATAATATGAAACTTCTTAGGACGCCAGTCACCAATGACCCCCATGTCAGTCAGCGCGTTAATTGAATTTACCGCGGTCAAGGGAAAATCGTGGCGCGGATAAAAGCTCTCTCGCGGTTGATTTATCGCGGAGTTTTAGCTCGAAAAGAGTCTATATACTTGTACGTACATATAGAAAGAGGAGAGCCACCTCGTTGCTCACAGCTGATTACAAAGTCGAGAGAGATGATATAACTGGATTTGCAAGTTGTCACGGTGAAAGAGTGAGAGGCGGACGGGGAAAAAAGAAATGGTGGGGGAGGCCATTATTGTTCAAGGGCGTCAATGTACCGATTGAATTTAAAATGCTAATCTGCATCGTAGAGAAATGGTGATAGGATGAATTTAAGCGCGAACAACCGGCAATTATCATTCTTGCTTAACTAAATCTAGATCATTTAATCATTATTCAATTATACTGGCTGACTTGCAAACTCTTTTCATGCATACGAATATGTTACGATTAAGTTGCAACATTTAGTGATGGATTAAAGTGACAGAAGCGAAGGATTTTTTTTGGAGGATTTCGAGTTTGAAACGTTGAAGCTTAATTTTACAGTAACTGCACAGCTATAACGAAGATTTCTATTTACACCAATACCGTGACAGCACAAGGCCAAATATGAAATATTCGCGAACGTAACGATATGTATGTTAAAAGTATGGAAATGGAATTATTATGACCGCTTTAAACGGTCTATCGTCGCAAAAAGTCATTGTTGCTTTTAAAAATAGAAATTCGTATCAGTTCGTTGTAATATTTTCTCATTTAATAATTGCGCCGTACTTAATTAGCATAACGGTGATTTTTCAATGCAAGGATCCGCATAAATTAACACTCAATTTATTCCTCGATGTTCATTAAGCACGTACGCGTTTATTTTTGCCCTCCTGTTGTATTGCCACCGCTTTTTTTTTACTCGCTATTGGTATTTTTTACCGCTTTCTCTGCAAGCACGAGTACACCTTTGATCGACGATGTTGTTCGATTAATCGAACGCGTAATGGGACGAGTGCAATTACATCTCGGATAATTAGAACGAGAACTTGAGACTAATCATTTTTTCAGCCGGGATTTACATAAATTAGCCTCCGATTCCGTGTTATTAATCAAACATTAAGGTCATAATTCACTGCTGGTTTTCCTACTTTATACTTCTGTTATTTAAATATTTATACACTGTTTTAGTATTCATATTTCTTGTAATCAGAACATTTTCGAAATTATTTTAATATTTGCATAATAGTTGCAATAATTATAATTGAAATAAATTCAAACTCTTTTAATTACTTTTCGAACATCTTGTTCATTTAATCACTAACGAAACTTAATAGCGTATGTTACATTGGTTTGTACTTCACTATGTTCATTCCCGTGATTAATATTCAGAACGGTGTATGCAATTATTTTGTAATACACGACAGATTAATTATACGAAGTTATTTATTCTGAGGTATAATCACAACCATTTATTAATGAAATAATTTATGAGTCTCTCTGTAATCACGATGATTTCCATCTCGTGTCAATTCAGCATACTTTATTTCAAAACTTACAAAAATAAGACATTTTTGTAGAAATCCTTACTTTTCACTTTACGTAATTTTCTCAACTTAATATTAATTTCAACTCTTCAATAAGTTGTCTTAATCTTCATACATTGCATCCGAATTTAATGTTACACTGTGGACAGAGTGTGTGATTGATGCTGTGAAAAAAAGAGAACAGTCCATTTGTTCTTGTAAAGAGTGAATCGTTGAGAAATAAGGGTTCATTAGCCAATCAAAATACCAAACACCTACAAATTTCTCTGTTTCATAAGAGATCAAGTAATTC